CAACAACAACAACAACAACAACAACAACTAAAGACAAAGTTGTTCAAAATTGTTTAATTCTAATTAAATCTCATGCAAACTCATATCACAGATATCAAGCTTTGAATAAATTAAAACCTCCATATATACATTCATTGATTTTGTAATAAATAAAATTACCCCTTAATTAATTCATATAATTAATTATTATTTCATGTTTTATGTTCTTTGAAGAAAATACTTCGAATTGGTGAAGTGAGAGAGTTGATGCGATGTCTTGCTCTTTCGGTGTTCTGCTCCAGGAGATCAGAAATAGCGAGAATGAATTCGCTATCTTGATATTTCCAAACTAATACAAGTAAAACTACTAGCGTACTAGTAATCATTAGTCTTTGTCTGTGGAAAGAGAGAGAAACATGAGTCCATAACTTTGCCATGTGCAAAATATGGAACAGACGAAATATACTTTTAAACGGAAACATAGACACAATCGCAATCACAAGCAAGCGGCAAAGTTTTTTTCGTATATTCAGAACTTATATTGACGCAAGCGCAGACGCAGTCAGAATCACAAGAACAAGACACGGACCGGGAGAGGATGTTCTTTGGCGTCTCCTTGCGTTTCCACGTAAAATATGTGTCTGTTCTGTATCTGCGCTGCTGAGGATTACGATTCTTTTAATTTATATTCTTGCGTTTGCACTTGCGTCTAAAGAGAACACATTCTCTAATGAATTTCTACATTTCTGCATATTTTAGCTCACAATTGAGCAATTTGGGTGGCATGGGTGGCCTAGTGGTTAAGCTACTGGCCTCTCACCGCTGTGGTCCGGGTTCCATTCCCGGGCACGGACCATATGTGAGTTTGAGTTTGTTTGATGTGTTGTTCTCTCCCTTGCCACGAGGGTTTTTCTCCGGGTCCTCCCGTTTTCCTCCCTCAGAAAAAATCAACATGTGAGGAGTGTTGTGTGCTAAAATACTTAATGTAGAGGTAGTGAGTGTGAGGGTAGGGAGGGCCACGAGTTTATCAGTCTTTGACTGTAATGTGCTACCCTCGTAAAATAAAGTTATTTATTTATTTATTTATTTATTTATTGAGGCTAATATCGCGAAACTCCAACTATTCGAACTGGATTATTGCTTCACATGGAAAAGGTCCGTGACAAATCTTACCTTGTTCTTGCGAATGGTATAATCAAACGTCCAATGGAAGTAAAAATAATAAGAATAAGAGCAAGTACAGCTAGAACGACACTAAGGAATTTGGATAGRAGAGCTTTGGCTTGAACACTTTGCTCAAGGTACTCGTCAARMGCACCAACCATYTGTTGATTCTGTTGTTGAACGGTCTCRACTTTACTGATCTGAAAAYACAACAGACAAAGAGCTACTCAGGYGAAACCTTGGATTTTCTAAAAGTCAACRAAGGGAGGCAAGAGTGGAGKGTTTGAACACCATTTTAAGTTTTTAACTACTGTTTTTTAGATGRACATACATTGATGTTCCGACTATCGATACTTTTATCCCTTCCTACCAAAGACGCCTTACTGAGTATAAGGCTGTCAGACTAGTACCCAGTCGTTACTCTTCTTTTTTTCTCTGGCACGTGCAAAGAATCAAGGGAAGTCGGAAGAAAACGTTTTTCGCTGTTAGTTCGGACTTCCCTTGATGCAACGCGAGCCCGTAAAACGAGCAAGAAAAAACAGACTAGTGTCCTGACCGTACCTTGATGCGAGCAAGCTACACAGTCAAAGAAAACTGCTCTCACAGACCCTCTCTAAAACTTCTACCCCTCAACGCAGGTAAATAGAAACATGCTCTAGATATGACTACAACTCACTGCGATTTTGACGTGAAACTTGTCCACGAAATCCGATGAATTTGCCAATTGCTGTCTACATTTGCGCTAGAATTACCACTACAATCATCTTCTATATCGCACGATTAATTAAGTTTACATTGTATACACAGGCCTTAATAAACATTGCAAGCCCTACCCGTGTAACGTAGGAATCTAAAGCCTCTTCGATTTCGCCAGCTCTTTCAGACAGTCTGTATTCTACACATTCCATTCGTTCCTCGGACCGTTCTAGCTCGATCTTTAGACTCATCATCTACCAAAAAAAAAGAAAAAGAAAAAGAAAAAGAAAAAAAAAATCTATGAACTGCTTTGAAATTTGTTTGAGCTTCTAGCCGACGTTTATAATCTTGAGGGATTAATCTTGAGGATTTGTGTACAGGCCTCCCGGTATAAAATGGTGGGACGTATAATACTCTAGAAGAGTTTTACCTCATTTTGGTGAAGTTCAGTCATGTCATTCCACTGGGACGTTAAATCGTTTAATTGACATTGAAGATGCTGAAAATAAAATTAAAAATGTAAAAAAAAATTAAATAAATAAATAAATAAAAATAGGAAAACGCTTATGAGAACATTATTCACCTACCTCAGATTTATATCTTTCTTCCTGTAACGACTGCGCTAATAAATCCATTTGCTCCTAACAAAACAACATTAAATAAATTAATAACAATAACAAAAACAAACGAACAACGTCAAGGAGACAAAGCAGAGGTAAGCAGAGCAAAACAGAACCGAATATGAAATCAGATCAGATCAGAGCAGAGCAGAGCAGATCAGATCAGATCAGATCAGATCAGATCAGAGCAGAGCAGAGCAGAGCAGAGCAGAGCAGAGCAGAGCAATGCAGAGCAGAGCAGAGCAGAGCAATGCAGAGCAGAGAATGATGTGTTATTCGTGTGCAACTGCATGTATTACACGGGCTCTGATTGGATAACGTTCATTTACTGCGGTTACGTCATAACAAAGGCAAATATATCAAGCACTATGATTGTTCGAGGGTATTACCTTTAAGGAATCTATATGCATTAATAGCCGTGACTGAGTTTGTCTAAGTTCGGTAATTTCTTGATCGTATGATGTCACGGGAGGGCTTGGAGGAAGACTGTGTCGAGGGCTTGTTTGTTGTGGCGGTAGACTGAAAAAAAAAAAAACACACACAATCATGCATTGGAATACGACTATTTCAAAAAACTTTTCTTGATGAATTGATAAAGCACGGCCGAAAGTTAATCTGGGTATTGACGACGACAAATACTCCATTTTACAATTCCCAGCGCCATCTTGAAAGGTAGTGGTGGGGAACTGGTGTTTCTAAAAAAACAGTTGTGTAAAAAAGATAAATTTAACACCGTAAAAAAGTATGTGAAATAACTTACTACTTTACTTATTTCACATACCTTTTTTACGGTATTAAATTCATCTTTTTACACAACTATCTTGAAAGGCAACCAGGCCTTGGCATCAAAGCCAGACAGAAGTTGTGCTTGCAACGATAGATGCATGTACCTGTGAATCATTGCCTTAGGTGTGAACAAAAGGTATCTATCATTGCAGGCTCAACTCCTGTCTCACATTGATGCAAAGACTCGGCTAGTTGAAACTGGAACCGTGTTTGTCAGTTAAACCGCCAATTGTCTCCTTCACGGTTCCCTGCGCCATCTTGAAAGGTAGCCGTGCCTTTGCATCGAGGCGAGGCTACTGTTGAGCGTGCAATGATAGAAACCTTCTTTCACACCTATAGACAATTATTCACAGGTATCATTGCACGCTCAACGGTTGTCTCGCTTCGATGTAAAGGCATGGCTACCTTTCAACATGGCGCAGGTGACCGTGAAGGAGACTATTATACAGTGCGATAATGCAGCGCGCTACAAGTATTCTACTCTAGCATGGTCTTAGCTCACCTTGTGGGCGCATTAGACGCAGCACTTGAAGAGTCATCATCGCTAATATAATGAGGACTGAAAGAATGAAAGAAATCAGTGCAAATTTGAATGGATGGGAGAAGAGCAGTGGGAAAAAAAGCATGGACTATAGCCTACCAAAATGGCGAAAACTGACCGATTATATAATGAGGACTGAAAATATAAAAGAAATCAATGCAAATTTGAATGTATGGGAGAAGAGCAGTGGGAAAATAGAGGGAAGAGAGGACAGGAAGGAGGGGTGACGTATGCTAAAAGGATACTCGGATAGTGAAAGCCTTCAAAACTCTAAGGGAGAATCTGCAGAACTCGTGTTCTTTCTCTTTGTTTTAAAGGGACATGGTCCACCAGCATCCCTTTCGAGCTTTTGTTTATGTTTGAAAATAGAAATACATCGTAATATAAGCAAAAACTTACTCTTTATTGTTCCTTCATCCTATATGAAAGGAGATGCTTTAAGATTCGACCGTTAAACCGATGGATGGAAGGACATTCGAAGTCACCTCATTTTCCNATAAATAAATAAATGAAAAAAGAGTATGAAATAATATTGCATAAGTCAATTGTAACCACGGCCCCAAACCCCCAGGGAATAACGAGGGAATTACCATTTAAACTATACTTAATTATATAGAGGCCAAAGACGTATGTCCATTTCGTTATATTTTGTAGTAATTATGATGTCAAAACCGAGTTAAATCCCCGCCTATTTGTTAATTACCCGACCGTACCCGGGGATTGGGCCCGGAGGACGGAGTTCAAATGACTGATGTATAAATTAGAGAATATAAGAGCGACAGGGAAGACAAACAAGAAGGACAATACAAGTGAGAACCTACTTGAGCCTGGCCCAGGAGAAGACGAGACGTTTTCCGAGCTTCCGAACTTGTTCTTGATGAGATTGGCAATTTCTAGTGGTTTAGATACAGCCCTAGATACAGAGTAACAAAGATCAATGYAGGTTTATGATTGGTTCGCATATGCACCACAAATCCATGGACCAATGWCTTTTCCCCTTTTAACRATCTTGTTTGATGGTAGAGGAAACAATTGGATTGAGCATCAAACAAGTTGGAAGGAGCTTTTAAAAATCGGCATTAGAAATTATTTGACCCACAAATAATACGAATTTCTTCGCAGAGAAGAATCAAGACGAGTCGCCGTGCGTTAAGCCAAGTCAATTGTGGAAAACCATTGTTTTTTCACGAACGACTGAGATTGATGCACAGCGTCTCGTCTTGATTCCTTTTTGTGTGACTACTGAGGCAAAATTCGCAAGTCGGCTATTTGTGTGATAATCAAACAGGATTTGCTTGACACTTGCTTGTTGATATGAAACACAGCCCTATGACTGCGAGCAATAGCCAAAGCTCCTTACAACTTTGAAGTGGTCGCTAAAGTGGTCGTTTATTGCCCGTGTTAAACGAGTTGTCCGTATAATTGAGTGACTTACCCCTTGACGCCATCTTTAACACCTCTGAAAGATAAAACCATCATACGATTACTAATCGAGTCTTGGTGTCTCATAAAAAAATAACATTTGCCAAGGAGGTGGCAGATGGGACAATACTTTTCTCTTTTACTTACGAAAATTAACAGTAAAAATTTTTTTTTTTAATTTTTACAATAATGCAGCAGAAATCACTTCAGTTTATTTAGTGCTGTTAAGGTAGTACAATTTGTACAATGAATCAAGATTATTCTCAATTAGGTGAAGATGTAATCAAACCTGTGAAACAAAGAGTCAAGGTGTGATAGACTCAAAATATAATGAAATTAACGGCCATTAATTACTATAAATTAAAAGTAAATCCGTGAAACAAAATATTTCATTCGAAGTGTAATTGCATAGTCAAATGGACACAAATATGGATTGAATAATGGATTTGACACCGACTTCTTTGTACTAGTTTACTCGGTTCTTTTACATTTGTAAGTGAAGATTAGTGGGACTAATAGTTGATACAACACTCTGAATCTACCGTTTGTTTTCTTTTTTACCAACAAATTTTATAATTATAGTCAATTTTCATAGTATGGTCAAATGAAAACRTGTCTGCGTATTTTACACATTTAGMGGAACTACTRTAAAATGCGTTAGTCTAATAAAATTACTTTTAACGGCGTTCACACTAAGAACTCTTTATGTTATAATTAGTAAATATTCCTATTAAGTTAACTCACTGTGGCCACAAGCAGGAAGAGTGCTTCTGAAGCTTTCCTTTGCTATTTGAAACCTTTTGGCTTGACAAACTACTAGACTTTCTTAAGCCACCTTTTTTCATGTTGGAATGATCAACAACAAGTATMGTTGGCACAGACTGAATGCCATTGTTTGTCGAGTTCGACATTTTTTTTTATGTCCAGTATTAAATAATTTAATAAAACCCTCACATTTGCATTTAACTCAAGATTTGCAGA